GAGCAATCATTATTCTTTCAGAAAGAGAGAAGAAATCTAGGGTGATTAGACGGGGGAGGGGAGAGGGAAAGGGGCATGGAGAGGGATTGGACAAGGGGCATAAAGCCAGGGGACTCATGTCCCTCAGGGGACAGTTGGCAGTATCTAGAGACATTTTTGGCTGTCACGACTGGGAAGATGGGGAGGGAAGGAGGTAGAGACAGGTATGTTGCAAACCTCCATAGTGTCCCAGTAACAAAGACAAAGCTCATTTGACCTCGGGACCTAGAATACCTGAAATATCACGGGTTGAGTATTCTGTTGAAGTCACTTTGGAAAGGCTACCCGAGAGTAACGGGGATCAGGAGAGGGAGATTGAAAGACCAGTGGAATTTAATAGATTTTATTATCTAAGAGCTAGAAAGGACCTGGTAGGCAACCCCAAATCCTTCATATTACAGGGAAGGAAACAGGCCCACAGAGCTGACAGTTGCCCAAAGTCATTCAAATGAGAGACAGTAGGACAGAAGTTAGGAGCACAGACTGGACACAGACTGAGTTCAAGTCCTGGCTCTGTCCCTTCTAGTTGATCAGACTAATTTGCAGAAAAGAGAAAGCAATCATACCTGTGAATACTGAATGAGTTAAAATGTGTAAAGCACAGAACTCAATAGAGGGTAGGTATTATTGAGAGCCAGCTAGTTTTTGTCCAGCCTGGATTCCAACCCAGCATCCCTGACTCCCAGTCTGATGTTCTTTCCAGTATCCTGTGATGGGCACAGGAGGAGGTGAGGAGAAGCAGAAGCAAGGAAAGGCCTAGTTGCAGAGGCAGTGTCACAGTTAAGCAGACGGGTGGTGAGAGTCGAAAACCCACCTCTACCACTGGCCAGCTGCATGATCTGGGCAACTGAATGATCCTCTCCTGGTCTGTCTCCTTATCTCTAAATGAGAACAATCATAGTACCTTCCTCCTAAGTTTGAGCACTAAACAGGATAATGCAAAGCTTGAAGACTAAGAAATGATGGCAGATGTCATTATTGTTGTTACCATTATTGGGGTCTCCAAGACATACCCTCCTTGTTGGTGAGCCTGACATATTTTAGGCCTGGGCTATCAAGATTCTCATCAAGACCACTTCCTCTCAATGAGAGCAAGTCTTGTCTTCCCTGCAGTTCTTTCTCTTTCTTCTCTTGATGGCTTTATTTTCTGGAAGCTAGCTGCAAGTCAGCAGGATCTCTAAAGCTGGTTGTGATTTGTCTCAAAGTTCTATCATTCAGGCACCAGATACTGTTATACCACATGTTCAACAAATCTTGAGCATCTCAGATATTGGGCGGGGCATTAGAAGTAAACCTCATGGAACACACACTGGAGTTCCATTTACGTTCCACTGGCTGGTTCCCCTCTGATAACACAGTAAAATCTCACTTATTCACAACTGTAACTAAATTTGTGTGATTGTTTAACATTTGTCTCCTCCTCTATCCTGTGAGCTCCCTACAGATAGGACTGGAGATGTCTTGCTCATTACTGTGTCTTTGGCATTTGGTGCAGTGCCTAGCACATATCCATCCCACAACTACTTTTTATTTGTATGCTCCAGGTAATGTACTGTGTTGTGTATGTATGTACATGCATCTACACATAAGAGACACTTAACTGATAAATGGATGCTAAGCAAGGTCTGGTACACGGTACAAGGTAGAATTGCATCATGATTAAGAACAAAGACTTTGAAATCAGACAGACCTGAGATCAAAATACAGCTCTACCTCAGTCTAGCCATGTGTCCCTGTGTGTGCCTTAGTTTTCCATATAAAATAAGAAATCATAGTTTCCACTTCATAGGCTGTTGTAAGGATTAAATGAGGTAAAACATGTAAAGCATGAGGCTTGAAATATTACAAGCTTTCTACTGACAGTAATTATTAATACTATTAAAATGTTGCTGAATTAATAAAAAGAATTCATGGTGTGTAAGGCTTGAGTATGCATAGACAAGTCATGAACTGCAAAGTGCTGTGCTCGTATGTTATCTGTATCTTGCCCTCTGTGTCCTACATAAAGCAGGCTCATCACAAATAATTGGTGGTGAGTCGATTGAGGCATTGTCTTCTTCCATTTCAGCTCCATCTCGTGGAGGTGTCATTTTGGGCTTTAAAATGTTAGTACACTGGCCTCCCAATAGGCCAAGTATTTGGAGAACAGATTCCTAGGTATAACTTTGAAAGGCACCATAAATATATACAATTTTTGTCAATTTAAAAATAAATTTGAACTAAAAGCAAATAAATAAAACATCGAAAGAGTCTCTTTGTAAACATTCTTTATGTCTTTTAAATAGCCCTCAGTCTCTGTACTGCTCAGTCCCAAATTCTCAAGAGTCTTGAACAAATATGATCGGCCAACACAGAAGCAGCACATGCCAATGATAAATAGTAACTGGCATTTATTGGGGACCTACTCTGTACCAAGCAGCAATGTGTATCTACATTTTGCAGCTGGGGAAACTGAAACTAGAGTAGTAAATAAAATGTCCACAGCTAGCAAATGACACAGGCAGGAACTGACTGACTCCAGAGCAGTTTACTGAGCCCCTCCCCCTACCTGCCTCAGGCAGTCTCTGCAGGGTAGAGGTAACCATTTATCAGCAGGTAGAGGTGACCAAGCCCCAGGGCTCCCACTGCCGCTTCACTGCTAAGATGTTTTACTGAAGGTTTCCAAGTCCCCAGTGCTAATGATATTACTGTGAGTTGAAACTAATGTGAAAATTTTCTTCATATCTGGTTCTCAAGTATGAGGATACCAGTTAGGATGCAGGGACTTTTCTAATGCTTGATTGAAACCCAACCAGATAAGGACATAGAGACATTGGGTGAGGGACAGGAATGAGCCACATTTTTCCATTTCAGCGGTTTTTTAATTCTTGAGTTCAATTCTGATTGAGCAGGTTTTTTGTTGTTCTTTTATATGCTTCTGTGAGAATTAACATTTTGATTTGGCTTATGGTTTAATTCAGCAAGGTTTGCAAGAGAACTTATTATATACTTAGGCTCTCTACATGGAATCCCTTACTGACCATGTGAGTGCATTGAGCAGGCAGGAGAGAAGAAGCCTTGGAGGATGAGTTAACTCAACAACCTGCAGGCCAATGTTTGGTTCAGCCTAAAATTGATATAAAACTTTATTAGGTTGAATCACATGTAACTGCCATTTTTGTAGGTCAAAAATAATTGAATATCAGAAAATGTATATGGTTCAACATAATACATGCTAAGTACCCAGAAGGCAAAGAATTCAATAATTTATCTGGCTTTGGTTCCAATCAAGCAATAAATATTTATTGAACATGTGTGTGTAAGACTCTGGGTGCAAAGTACAGTAAAACCAAAATCTTGCCCTCAAGAAGTTCACATCCTAGTTGAAGAGATACAGTAAACTCATGAATTGTTTTTTGTTTTTGTTTTTTTAAAGATGCCTGGTAAGGGGATCTTAACCCTTGACTTGGTGGTGTCAGCACCACGCTCTCCCAAGTGAGCTAACCGGCCATCCCTATATAGGGATCTGAACCTGTGGCCTTGGTGTTATCAGCACCACACTCTCCCAAGTGAGCCACGGGCCGGCCCTATGAATTGTTAAATATTATGTGAGACATGATAGTTTTCATTGTAAGAAAGTACCTGAGCAAATACTAAATAAATAGCCAGACCAAATAAGACAGGGCTTCAGAGAAAAGAAAAGATCATTTGGAATGAAATGATATGTGGTAAGTGAGGTATATGAATCAGGGAATTTGGGTCAATGAAGAGGGGACGATCTGGTAATGTACAGAAATGGGAAACGTCAAGATATGGTCTGTACACCCAGTTTAAAATCAAGGTAGAAAGAATTAAAGGCAGTTTATTATGGGCTTTGTTTGGTATAATACTGAGGAACCATGCCTTTTTTCCTGTAAGTAGAAATCAGCTAAAACTATTGAGAGAGATAAGAGCCTGGATATCAGAGCAAATCGACAATGTATACAAAAGACACACAGTTTACAGTCAAGGAGACCTGAGAAGTACCTTGCCCAAGGTCACAAAACAAATACATGGCGGTCTGAATACAGACCCAAGAGAGTCTGGTAGCAAAACCCCACTATTAAACACCATGATCCAAGAGAAATGAAAACATATGTCCATAGGAAAACTTGCACATGAATATTCATAGCAGCATTATTCACAGCTAAAAAGTGGAAACAACCCAAATGTTCCTCAGTTGATGAATAGATAAAATATGGAATAGTCATACAAAGGAATATTATCCAGCCATAAAAAGAATGAATTACTGATACTTACTACAGCATGGATGAACCTTAAAAATATTATGCTAAGTGAAAGAAGACAATCACAAATGATCGACCACATATTCTATGATTTCATGTGAAACTTGAATAAGAACCAAAAAGTAGATTAGTGTTTGGCTAGGGCTGCCAGAGTGGAGAATGAGGAATAACTGCTAACAGATATGGAATCTGGGGGGAGGTGATGAAAACATACTAAATTTAGATTGTGGTGATGGTTGCATGATTATGTGATTATACTAAAAACCACTGAACTGTATACTTTAAATGAGTATATTTTATGGTATGTGAATTATATCTCAATAAAGCTGTAAAAAAAATTTTTAAGCATCTAAGATGACTCCAGATTTTGTTATGTGCAGTGATACCCAGAGACCAGGGAAACATGAAACAGAGTTAGATACAGAGATCTGGAGCTTGAAAACAGTCAGTGTTATAGCTATGAATGGGGCAGGTCCCTTGCCAGTCCTTCTGTGGGAAAAGAAATATAGAAACCGTGACAGCTTTTTCTGGTGCCAGGGATCTGACAGTTCTCTGTTAGCAACTTGCTTACATTCTGCAGACACCAGCCCTACTTAGAGTCTAAGTTGGCTTTTTAGCTTTCTAGCTGGCCCAAACATGTTAGAGTGGGTTGATAAAGATGTGCTAAATTCATCTCGTTTTGCTTTTGTTCTGCAGTTTTTGAAGAGCCGGAAGATCCAAGCAACAGATCGTTTTTCTCTGAAATTATCTCTTCGATTTCGGATGTGAAGTTCAGTCACAGTGGGAGGTATATCATGACCAGGGACTATCTGACCGTTAAAGTCTGGGATCTCAACATGGAAAACCGCCCCATCGAGACTTACCAGGTACAGACCACCACCCGCCCATAGGTACATTAAGCAGTCCCCTTGTGTGCTTCTAAGTCACAGCCTCTGCCTGCAAAGTGATATACTGGTTAAAATAGTACAAGCTGTAAATGTCAAAGGAAAGAGAAAGACAAGTTCATTGAACATGTGTGCTAAGGAAGTGATTATAACAATGGACCACGGAATCTAAGATAGGTAAGAAGGAAAGGATAAGTCACAGCCTCTGCCTGCAAAGTGATATACTGGTTAAAATAGTACAAGCTGTAAATGTCATAGGATTTGAGATAAGGGTACACATGGAGAGGCTAGAATTCAAGTTGACCCGCACGGACTGAGTACTAATGTGGATGGATACTATAGACACAGAAGTGAACCAGACAAATATAGTCCTGCTCCCGTGGAGCTCCCCATCTGGTGGGGCAGCCACTGATGAGCAAGGAAGCGAGGGTGCAGGACAAATTTGATGTGGGAGGTGAGAGGAAAAGAAGCACTATGGATCACTCCAGGGTTTTCATCCTGAGCAACTACAAAAGTAGAATCACCATTTTACTTAGATGAGGAAATTGAGAGTTTGGTTTTGGACACTTTCAGCTAATTGAACATCCCAACAGAGATGGACAGTAGACAGCTCAGTGTGAGTCTGGATATACTCGTACCTAGCCTAGAGATATAAATTTGCTACTCATGAGTACATAGTGAGTATTTAAAGCTATAGGACTGGATGAGATCTCCTAGGCAATGAGTACAATTAGAAAAGAGGTCAGGAACTGCCCTGGAGCCCCAGTGTATACAGGTTGAAAACAGGAAAGGATTTGGCAAGAGAGATTGGGGAAAGGTGGCCAGCCAGTGAGGTGGTAGGAATCTGCGAGGAGTGTCCTAGAAACCAAGTGAAGAAAATGTCTTGAGGAGGAGGAAGTCGCTGAATGCTGTTGCGAATCAAGTATGAAAAAACCAAGAATCGACCATTGGATTTAGTAATGTGGAGATTACCAGTAACCTCAATGGAAGACGAGTAGGTGGAGTGGGGTGAACAAGTGTCTGATTGGAGTGGGTCCAGGAAAAGAGGATGTGAACAAAAGGACAGACAACTGTTGCAACAAATTCGGTTCTGAAGGGAACAGAGAAATGGGGTGATGTCTGGAATGGGATACAGGCTGAAGAAGGAATCACAGCATGTTTTATGCCAATAGGAAGAAGCCAGCAGAGAGAGGGATGGAGTCCATTGCAGAATTGACCTCAGATAAGACAGATAATTCATCCGTCAAAGGAAGGAGAGCAGTGTATATAGCTATAGATGGAAGAGGTTCATAAATTTTGTGATGGGAACATGTAGATGTTTTCTTATTGCTTCTGTTTTCTCTGTAAGGTAAGAACAAGGTCATTAGCTGAATGAGAAGGAAGAAAAAGTGTAAAATATTCACCTAAAGAAAGGGAAATGTTATAGGGTTGGAGGGTTGCTCAGGGATCCACTTGAAGTTTATATTTTTGATTCAAACTAAGATTAATCTGTATGATTGTGTGTTTCTTCCCAGCCACATTCACCTTCTTGGTATAGGTAAGGAAAGGAAAGAAAGTTAGATTTCACCAGTGATAGGGTTTTGCCAAGTGAGTACAAAGGAAAGAGAAAGACAAGTTCATTGAACGTGTGTGCTAAGGAAGTGATTGTAATAATGGACCACGGAATCTAAGATAGGTAAGAAGGAAAGGACAGAGGAAAGCAGTAAGGTCAGTGAATTTGAAGAATTGATAGAATCGAGATACTAGAGGGAANACTAAATTTAGATTGTGGTGATGGTTGCATGATTATGTGATTATACTAAAAACCACTGAACTATACTTTAAATGAGTATATTTTATGGTATGTAAATTATATCTCAATAAAGCTGTAAAAAAAATTTTTAAGCATCTAAGATGACTCCAGATTTTGTTATGTGCAGTGATACCCAGAGACCAGGGAAACATGAAACAGAGTTAGATACAGAGATCTGGAGCTTGAAAACAGTCAGTGTTATAGCTATGAATGGGGCAGGTCCCTTGCCAGTCCTTCTGTGGGAAAAGAAATATAGAAACCGTGACAGCTTTTTCTGGTGCCAGGGATCTGACAGTTCTCTGTTAGCAACTTGCTTACATTCTGCAGACACCAGCCCTACTTAGAGTCTAAGTTGGCTTTTTAGCTTTCTAGCTGGCCCAAACATGTTAGAGTGGGTTGATAAAGATGTGCTAAATTCATCTCGTTTTGCTTTTGTTCTGCAGTTTTTGAAGAGCCGGAAGATCCAAGCAACAGATCGTTTTTCTCTGAAATTATCTCTTCGATTTCGGATGTGAAGTTCAGTCACAGTGGGAGGTATATCATGACCAGGGACTATCTGACCGTTAAAGTCTGGGATCTCAACATGGAAAACCGCCCCATCGAGACTTACCAGGTACAGACCACCACCCGCCCATAGGTACATTAAGCAGTCCCCTTGTGTGCTTCTAAGTCACAGCCTCTGCCTGCAAAGTGATATACTGGTTAAAATAGTACAAGCTGTAAATGTCATAGGATTTGAGATAAGGGTACACATGGAGAGGCTAGAATTCAAGTTGACCCGCACGGACTGAGTACTAATGTGGATGGATACTATAGACACAGAAGTGAACCAGACAAATATAGTCCTGCTCCCGTGGAGCTCCCCATCTGGTGGGGCAGCCACTGATGAGCAAGGAAGCGAGGGTGCAGGACAAATTTGATGTGGGAGGTGAGAGGAAAAGAAGCACTATGGATCACTCCAGGGTTTTCATCCTGAGCAACTACAAAAGTAGAATCACCATTTTACTTAGATGAGGAAATTGAGAGTTTGGTTTTGGACACTTTCAGCTAATTGAACATCCCAACAGAGATGGACAGTAGACAGCTCAGTGTGAGTCTGGATATACTCGTACCTAGCCTAGAGATATAAATTTGCTACTCATGAGTACATAGTGAGTATTTAAAGCTATAGGACTGGATGAGATCTCCTAGGCAATGAGTACAATTAGAAAAGAGGTCAGGAACTGCCCTGGAGCCCCAGTGTATACAGGTTGAAAACAGGAAAGGATTTGGCAAGAGAGATTGGGGAAAGGTGGCCAGCCAGTGAGGTGGTAGGAATCTGCGAGGAGTGTCCTAGAAACCAAGTGAAGAAAATGTCTTGAGGAGGAGGAAGTCGCTGAATGCTGTTGCGAATCAAGTATGAAAAAACCAAGAATCGACCATTGGATTTAGTAATGTGGAGATTACCAGTAACCTCAATGGAAGACGAGTAGGTGGAGTGGGGTGAACAAGTGTCTGATTGGAGTGGGTCCAGGAAAAGAGGATGTGAACAAAAGGACAGACAACTGTTGCAACAAATTCGGTTCTGAAGGGAACAGAGAAATGGGGTGATGTCTGGAATGGGATACAGGCTGAAGAAGGAATCACAGCATGTTTTATGCCAATAGGAAGAAGCCAGCAGAGAGAGGGATGGAGTCCATTGCAGAATTGACCTCAGATAAGACAGATAATTCATCCGTCAAAGGAAGGAGAGCAGTGTATATAGCTATAGATGGAAGAGGTTCATAAATTTTGTGATGGGAACATGTAGATGTTTTCTTATTGCTTCTGTTTTCTCTGTAAGGTAAGAACAAGGTCATTAGCTGAATGAGAAGGAAGAAAAAGTGTAAAATATTCACCTAAAGAAAGGGAAATGTTATAGGGTTGGAGGGTTGCTCAGGGATCCACTTGAAGTTTATATTTTTGATTCAAACTAAGATTAATCTGTATGATTGTGTGTTTCTTCCCAGCCACATTCACCTTCTTGGTATAGGTAAGGAAAGGAAAGAAAGTTAGATTTCACCAGTGATAGGGTTTTGCCAAGTGAGTACAAAGGAAAGAGAAAGACAAGTTCATTGAACGTGTGTGCTAAGGAAGTGATTGTAATAATGGACCACGGAATCTAAGATAGGTAAGAAGGAAAGGACAGAGGAAAGCAGTAAGGTCAGTGAATTTGAAGAATTGATAGAATCGAGATACTAGAGGGAATGAACTAAAAAGATAGGAGGTAGCAATAGAGTGAGATGTGCTCAGGAGGTGCAGTTACAGTAATGACAAGGTTCATCATACGACCAAGGAAGCAAAGGACAAAACTCATTGAGACCAAGTAACTGAGGGACCAGAGTGTTTGAGTCACGAGGGATGATGGCAGGAAAAGTGATGGAGGTGCTAAAATTGCTTCCAGGAATGAGGAAGAAGGACTTGGAGCTTACTTTCAATGCCTGTAAGTTTGATGGCATGACTTCAAAGGAGCTGAGGACTTTAGACAGGAATAATTGTCTGGAACAGCAAGGAACCCATCTGCCCCATCTTGGCGCATGGAGTGGGAGCAAAAATCCAGCCACCCCTTGAGTGTTCCCAGAAGAAACAGCATCTTCAGGGGAGAGACACAGTCAGAGGAAGGAGAAAGAAACATTCAGAGAGGAGGCTGAGGACACTGGAGACTTTGATGACTAACTGAATTTCAGTGGGTATTGGAAAAAGACTTGAGAGCCAGATGTCAAGGCCACAGATGTCATTGAGATTGTTGTTGCTTCTGTGGTTTAATGAGCATCCTGTCTACAGTCTTATTGTCCCCTGAATCCTGCCCAAACTTGAGGACTCAGATCCACAGCCCCTGCCCCACGCTCTCACTCACAGCCCTTCATCTTTAGCCCAGGGCTGGAGCAATACCAGGGTCCTCTTTGGGCTGCATAAGGCAAACCACAGCGGGGTGCAACCGTCCATACAAACAGGAGGGCAGAGGAACGAGAACCTGTGGGGGCAGCATTCACAGAGGTGTGGCCTGCTGGAGAGCCTGGGTTAGAAAAGAGTAGATTTTAGGACATGTGGTGGCAAGAGCAATTAGTACTTTTATTTTAGGGAAAGACTTTTATTTTAGGGAAAGGCTTTTAGAACAAGGCTAGTTTTAGAACACAGCTAACTAGCTGTGACATGAAGTAATCAGCATTCTAAGTTTGTGGTTCTGAAGCCATGTTCAGCTGGTGCTATACTTGGAAATGATTTTTGGTTTTTTGTAGAACACTAAGAAGTAAGTATCATAGCACATGTATTGGAATGCAACATCACGAACTTTTATTTTAACTTATTTTAATTTTTGATAGTGTATGTCAGAGCAATTTGATTAAATTCATATATCAAAGATGGTAAATAAACTCTAATTCAGTGAGTGTCTAGAACACAATTGAAAAAGATTTTGAGGTCCAGTGGTAAAGAATTCACTGATCAATTACTAATGCCTGCCCTGGGCAGGACATAGGTAATGCTCCTACCATACATGTATTAACAGATCTCGAGCATGTTTCCATGAAACAGAAGCTATAGACTTAGCTAATTCCTACTTATTTTCAAGTTTTATAGAACAGAGGTTGGCAAACTATGAATTGCAGGCCAAATTTAGTTCCCCATTTGTCTTTGTAAATAAAGTTTTACTGAAACACAGCCATGCACAATCATTTACCTATCAGCTGTGGCTGCTTTCATGCTACAGGGGCAGAGGTGTGAAAGAGACCATATGGCCCACTAAGCCTAAAATATTTGCTATCTAGCCCTTTACAGGAAAAGTGTTCAACTCCTAAACTGTTAGGACAAACCAGCAGAGTTTACTCTTGCTAGGCCTTCTGAGCAGCCCAGTAACTATACGACACCACGCTTCCACAAGTAGATAATTTGAGAGCCACCATGTTGGGAGAATCAGTCTAGTGTCAAGAAGCCCATACGCAAACTAATAGGAGCATAGAAATGAAATAATATTTGGAACATGGAGAAAGAAGTATTAAATAGCATGAGTTTTAGGTTTTCCATTGCTCCACACTCTAGATGTTTCTCATGTGTGTATCTTACCTTATTCTCTCCTCTGGTGGAGAAAGGTCCATCTGGTTTGCATGGGTTTTTTTAAACAACAGAAGATAAATTCAATGTATCTTCATAGTAGATGTTATTTTTCTTTAAATGCTTTCTGTTGGAGGTGGGCAGGAGCTCCCTGGACTTTAGGTGCTATAGAGGAAAAATAGCAGTTCAGACTAGGTTTTCCCTAGAATCCTTACTGACTTATTTTCCTAGAATTATTTATGGAGTTCTCAGCAATGTGGTTCCTGCTAATGGGTCCACACTTCCCAGGCACACAAGTTTAGACACTTATTACTCACCTGTGGTGTTTCTGTAAGACAAAATGCCAAAGGTGAATGGTGAGAGAACAGGAAAGGGTCATAAAGAAGAGGCAGGTGGAACCACTGCCCTATTTATAAACCTTTACTGCTCTGCCCCCAGGGGAGTCAATGAGTTAGTTTATAGCAGGGATACCTCTATAAGAGCAGGACACAAGCCTCCCCCTTGCATCTTCCACATGCATCTAACGACGCCAAAAGCCCTGCTGCAGATAGATTCCCTTGTCACAGTAGCACAGAAGCAGTTACCCTGACAAGGCCTGGAACTGTTTGAGAACAAGAGATTAAAGGTGAGGAAATTAATTTGCAGAGTTGGAAATAATTACACAATCCAAATAACTCAGAGAGCTCTCAAATACCCAAAACATCTCATATAACATAGGATGAATCCGACCTCATTCCTTTGCCCAATCCTAAGCCCGCAACTGAGCCTCTGAGCTCAGCATCCAGCAGAACTCTCAGCAGGAGAGGAGAAGGGACCCGGGCTGCAGGCAAAAGGAGATTGAACCATCACTCTAAGCGTTAATCTAAACGAAGTTTCACAGTGCCCTGGGAAACAACTTCCTGCCTTCATTCAGTTCTAACTCCCCCTCTCTTGGCCTCACTTGAGTTCATTATCACAGCTCCTGTCTAAGAGACCCCATGTCAGGGGAAGCTAATGAAGTGCAGCAAGCAGGAGGCAGGTTGCTAGAGTAGCTTCGAGGGTGTGCACCAGAACCCAAAGACCAGGGTGCACCTCCCACTCTGTCGCGTTCTTTCCTGTATGATCTTGGACAGATAATGTCATTATCCCTGTGCTTCATGTTCCATTAAAGTGAATAGGATGATAGTATCTACAACATAAGATGGTTTTGGACATAAAGAGAGATTTGTATGGATAAAGCACCTGGCCAATTATAACAAGCTAGCATAGTGGGTATGGCCGTTATTATTTTACCACTCTCTATTAGTGAGTTCAGGAAGGATTACCCTAGAAAAATTGAACCCTCTGAACCTTCTTCATCTGTCCATCTGCATCTACACCTGAGTTATTGAATGTAGCTGGAGAAAAATACCCAACTGTGCTGACCAGCCTCATTTGAAATTCACGTCCAACCACTTCGAGTGTCCCCCGGTGCCCCCCAGCAATCCTACACTGTTTCCCAACCATGCCCCTCCCTCCTCACTTTCAGCTGATAACCTTGTTCCTTATTTCACTGAAAAAGAGAATGAGGAGAGAATTGCCACATAGCCCAGGGCTGCCCCTTTCATCTCGGAGTCTATTCAACACCCACCTGGCCAATTATAACAAGCTAGCATAGTGGGTATGGCCGTTATTATTTTACCACTCTCTGTATTAGTGAGTTCAGGAAGGATTACCCTAGAAAAATTGAACCCTCCGAACCTTCTTCATCTGTCCATCTGCATCTACACCTGAGTTATTGAATGTAGCTGGAGAAAAATACCTAACTGTGCTGACCAGCCTCATTTGAAATTCACGTCCAACCACTTCGAGGGTCCCCCGGTGCCCCCCAGCAATCTTACACTGTTTCCCAACCATGCCCCTCCCTCCTCACTTTCAGCTGATAACCTTGTTGCTTATTTCACTGAAAAAGAGAATGAGGAGAGAATTGCCACATAGCCCAGGGCTGCCCCTTTCATCTCAAAGTCTATTCAACACATCTGCTTGCAGAGACATCTCCAAATTATCGTACCCAAAAATGAACATGGTGTCTCCCTCCTTCCACTTGCTCAGGATAAAGATCTGGAAACCATCTTTGACTCCTGCTTTTTTTCCCCACACCTCAGAGTTGATCTAAGCCCTATCACTTCTCACTCCAAACAAGTGGAGAATCTGACCACTTCCTGCCATTGCTCTCACCCTGGCCCAAGCCATCATCTGTCACCCAGGTTACAGCTGGTCTCCCTGCCTTCGTCCTCACACCTTTACAATCTAGTGAAACCCAGCAGGCTAGAAGGCCTATGTGAACCAGTCACCTGCTCCCTCACCACCCCTCCACCACACTCTCTCCAGGACTTCTGCCTCTGAGCCTTTGCATTGGCTGTTCCCTATGTTTGGAAGGCCTTTCCCCCAGATACGGTTGTGGCTCATTCATCTCCTGCAGGCAGCTCCTCCCATGCTGCCTTACCAGGTGAAGCCTTGGCTACTCACCATACATACAACAGCACCTCCCAGATGTCCCAATCTCTTTTCCAGATGTTTTTGTTCTATGATTTTATCACCATCTAAGTGATCTATATTTACTTGGTCTCTCCCCTGATACGGGGTTGAAAATACCACAGGCTGTTTGGTTCACTGCTCTATCCCAAGCACATAGCAGGTATTCAACAAATACTTGTTGAATGGTGTTCTCAAAAGCCTGTGAGCAAATCAGCTTAGAAAATGGGAATCTACCACTTATTGGGCCTGTTCTATGCCACCGTCTATGCACACAAGCTTTTTTAATTCACGCTGGCCACATGAGAAGCTCAACAACCCATCCTAACATCCCACAGCTAGAAAGGGCCAAGCCCTGGATTCAGATCCAGTGCTACGTGATCTGAGGCATGTGTTCACTGAATTAACAGCTCATGTCAGCAGAGGAGGTGTCCTCAGAAATATCAATTTTTACAGTAATAACTGACCTTCTTGATATGTTTCCTCCCCAGGTTCATGACTACCTCCGCAGCAAGCTGTGCTCTCTCTATGAAAATGATTGCATTTTTGATAAATTTGAATGTGTGTGGAATGGGTCAGACAGGTAAGAAAGGCTGTGGTGGGACACCCTTCCAGAGGTGGACCCTCACCTAGAGGAGGCTCTGGGCACTTTATCCTAAGTGGAGTATAGCCAAAGGCAGGTCAGACCTGGCCAGGATGTGCTATGTCCTTGAGGTCCAGCCTGGGAAGAATGTGGTGAGACCCTTGAATCCTTTTTCAGGACTGGCACAGGTGACCATTTAATGTCAATAAAAAAGTCCTATCTTTTCCACATAAGATACCCCAGAGCTAGGTCAACATGCCGAAATGAAGATCACTTATAATCCGCCAGCAAATTCCAGCCTGAGCAGTTCAGATTACTGCAAAGTGGGCTTTCTAGATCAAAATCATCCCTTGAAGCTGCTAGTGTATACCTGGACAAAGGCCCTAGTGGTTCATTAGCTAAATTCTACTGACCTCATTTATCACATTCCTTCAAAGTGATTTATGACTGTTTTAAGGCCTTTGATTTCAACAATACTTCATATTACCTCCTAATAGTTCATTTTTAGTTTGACAAATACAGATGATTCTGAGTTCTGTGAGAACTAAGTGCAGGCTACCAGGGGCTGGTTTAGTTTCTTGATGAAGGTGACACCAATAATAATAATGTTTGGAAACATGGAAATTCTCTTATGGAAAGACACTCAGATTCAAGCTTATAGTGAGCACAAGCCATCTCTCTCTGCCTGTTTTGTGGCTTTCTTTGCCACTGACCCAAAATGAACCCCCTACTTAAAAGGATATTAAGGAGTCACCACATGGCAAAAGACCCAAGTCACACTGTCCAGTTGGTATAGGACAGAAAGTAAAGCGACTGAGACGTATGAACAAAATCCCCCAAGGGGAAAAAAAGCCAGCCCTATCGTCTTATTATTTATTTATATTTATAAACATTTATTCATTCATTGTTTATTATTAATAGATATAACATTATTTCTATGTTTATTGCTTCAATTTCCTTTCTATCTTAGCCTAGATTCAAAAACTACACTTATTTGGCACCCACTATGTTCCAGGCACCTTCACATGCATTATTTTATTTAATCCCACCCAGTCCAACGAGGTTGTTTTCATCATCCCCACTTTACAGTTGAGGAAACTGAGGCTTAGCAAGATAAGGCAACCTGCCCAACCTCATAAACTAGTAAGTAGTAGAGACAAAAGTAAGAAGTTTTGAGTTTGAATTCTAAGATCAACATCCTCTCTATAACATCACAATTGGAAATTTTATTTCTGGTTCAGATAAGGTTGAGATCCACCCCCCGCCAAAAAAAAAAAAAAGACTTTCTCTTACTTGTTTAAAAATAAGTCAGGGCAGGGTGGGGGAAGTGAGTATCTGTGCACGGGAAGCCGTGAGGCCTCGGGGCTGCATGCTCTTGCCCTGGAGTCAGGCACAGGTAGATTTGAGGCCTGACTTTGCCGCTTATAGCAATGGGACCCTGTGCAACTGACTTCTCTGAAAATCCCTCGCGTTGGAAGTTGAAGTGAGAGCACAGAGGTAAAGCCCTCAGCGCCCAGCCTGGCAACGTAATAACCATTCACACTAGTATAAAGATAAATACAGTTCATGGACAAAATCTAACTTTGATTAATTTGCCTGGCACAGCTGACAAAGTACCCAAAACAAGCAGAGAATCTGACGACTTCCCACCACTGCTCTCACCCTGGCCCAAGCTGTCATCTGTCACCCACGTTACAGCCAGTCTCCCTGCCTTCGTCCTCGCCCCTTTACAATCTAGAGAAACCCAGCAAGCTCAGTGGTCCTTTCTGTGATGCTTCACCTTACACAGAGTAGAGGGCCTGAGTGAACCGGTCACCTGCCCCCTCACCACCCCTCCACCACACTCCCTCCAGGACTTCTGCCTCTAGGTCTCTGCATGGGTTGTTCCAAGCCAGCCTCTCCGGTGGGGATGCCCCCATGGGACCCCCTCACCACCCCTCCACCACACTCCCTCCAGGACTTCTGCCTCTAGGTCTCTGCATGGGCTGTTCCAAGCCAGCCTCTCCAGTGGGGATGCCCCCATGGGCGTGAACCGGTCACCTGCCCCCTCACCACCCCTCCACCACACTCCCTCCAGGACTTCTGCCTCTAGGTCTCTGCATGGGTTGTTCCAAGCCAGCCTCTCCGGTGGGGATGCCCCCATGGGATGGTACTTAAGGAGCCCTTGCAGATCCCTCACCCAGGGTCTAGCTCTCTCCCTCTCAGCCTGTCACCATGTCTGAAATGTCACCATTAAAGATTCAGTGCCTTGCCTCTGGAGGGTTTTAGGCATTCACTGCTCTCCTGATTGATTGTAGATATCCCTGAGAATGGATAACTCCTGTAAAAATGTACAAACCATCTGTCCATCTACTACAAAATCTTATTTCACCATCTCAAATCCTTTTAAAATTGAATTTGGTTCCTCTCTCCGTGAGTAAGACCATGATGACATGTATTTTATAGATAAGTTTTCTGGAAGGGTTGAATTTAGAGCTAGTTCTTAGAAGGGGAGAGGACACCCCAGGGTCAGTGCACTGTGCTACTGGCATTTCTCCCACCGTGCTGATGCATGGAGTCCTAGAGGCCGGACAGCCCAGGAACCCCCTACAGCAGCTGTGCTTTCACGACCTCATTCTAGTCTCTCAGTCCTGATGGCAGGTCGGTAGGGCTGGATCATTAAAACCACTGGATTCCTTTACTGAGCCAAAGAACCAAAAGGAATCTATTGGACAAAAGTAAATAATTAGGAGGGTTATTACCATCCTTCATGCCCAAGCCCAACCAAAGAGCTTCTTGCTCTTAGTGATTCAAATGGAAGTCAGCACCCACCCTGCAGAGCCTGTTTGGTTTTATTGTTTTTAATAAAACCAGTGGTGCCACAAGCTGACCACGGGTGTGGTGGTGTTTGCTCCAGAAGGACACAATCAGGATATGTTACTACCTTTCTCCGTAACACTCAGTCACTCCCTATTTCCTCTCTACTTTGCAGTGTCATCATGACGGGCTCCTACAACAACTTCTTCAGGATGTTTGACCGAAACACCAAACGTGATGTGACCCTTGAGGCCTCAAGGGAAAACAGCAAACCTCGGGCTATCCTCAAACCCCGAAAAGTGTGCGTGGGGGGCAAGAGGAGAAAAGACGAGATCAGTGTCGACAGTCTGGACTTTAGCAAAAAGATCTTGCATACAGCTTGGCATCCTTCAGAAAATATTATAGCAGTGGCGGCTACAAATAACCTATATATATTCCAGGACAAGGTTAACTAGGAGGACAAGTTATTACTTAATAATCTCACATACTGAATACTAGTCAAACGAGTTTTTAATGTTTCTTTGGGTCTTCATTCGATGATACATTTGATTTTAATTTCCCTATGCAGAAAACAATTGGAATAGAATAAAAAGGAGTCCAACTTTCCCAGCTCCCCAGTTCTGAGAAACCATTGTCAAACCCAACAGGTTTGGGACACTTCTGTTTAGAACTGAAAGCTGCCAGCTAACAGTAATTCTTCCATAGTTGACTGGAATTTCTGATGCTTTTATTGCCCAGTTTTCTCTGGTGGGTCCAGTGTTTTGTTTCTAGGTGTCTGCTGCGATAAAATGAGGTTGTCTGTAGTATTTAAGGAGAAGAGAGGTTTTTTTTTAAATTAAGCAATTCCATTTGATTGAAAATCAACAAAAAATAAACACCGTTTACTCTTAGACAAATCCTCCTTGTTTTGCGAAACATCAGAACTTGTCAGTATCTCCTGCCCATCCTTCACCTTTTTTTTTTAATTCCCATTTTCCACTTTCTTTTTAACAATTTCATTTGAGCCAGAAATATCTTTCCCCAGGCTGAGAAGAGGACACAGAATGAAAGGGAGGCGAGCGTCAATACTGCTGGACTCTTTTTGTAAGGGCCATAGAAACAGCCTGAGAATTTGGCTAGGAAATGCCATGAATGCTTCAGGGGACATAAAGAGAACACTTTCTGCACAGTCTTCTCAGAGTTTGTTAGCCTGGCAAGGCTTTGTGGGGCCAGATTCCATCTGCTGCTTCGTTACTCTTGCTTTTTGTCCTTTTAAATGGCTCCCTATAACCCTCTACTTAAGTGTTCGATAGCTTTTTCTCTTCAACCTTTTCTAGCTTATTTATTAAAGGCTGAGTCCTGGTTGCTTATTATCCGATGTCCTAAATGAAGCAGTAAGTTGAACACAGGGGCACCACCCCTGGCTCCCTGAGAAAGGCTGGTCTGTTCTTTCGGGGTGTGTCTTCTGAGCAGCCCCCTCTCCTCCTCTTGGTCCTGGTAACCAAAAGTAATAATCCATCAATCTCCATTGTACCTAGAACAAAAATGGCCAATAAAAGTGCTGATTTGTAAAGTCTAATCAAGCATGTCTAAGCCCCCAAAGCTCACCATCTGGAAAAATAGACTGGGGGGCTCTCCTCCTACAAAAATGAAATGTGGGGGGATCAAGAAGCGGTGACATCAGAGCGAAGGAGGTCTGATTGAAGCTGTGGGGGCTGCTTCATGCTTCCCCCAGTTGGGGATTCAGACTTATAACTTCTTGAAAGCCACTTCCAGAAGGTTCTATATGGCACACCTCTGGGAAGGGCACTAAGTGAATTCAAGGGATTTATAAATTTGGAGAGGAGGCATAGGGAGTGGGTGTCCAGAAAGCTGGGTCTGGGTTCATGTCTCTGTATCTTGTCTTGATGATGCATTTCCTCTAACTAACTTCCACTGAGTGAATGGGAAATGGCTTGAGATGAGTGTTTTTCATTGAAAGAGGAATTTTCTTTCAGTTTGTGGATTTATCAGAAGTCCCAGCTTTCAAGTGTAATTTGCTTTGAGGAGAAAAACATAGTCAAAGAATCGTATTTGTCTCACTTCTAAGCTACTATTCACTTAATAACAGCTTTGGGGGAGGTAAATAACTATCTACATAAGTAAAAACAATTTTGTGACACACAGCCTGATTTCCTGAACATTACAACATGGAAGAGGTACAGCTCAAAATCGAGGGAGCCTGGGGACGAAGATGTGACTTTCTCAATGTCTCTTATTTTTCCTGCAATGAAATCCTCTCCTCTGGCATTGCAAGTAAAATGGCTCAGGTGGAAACTGTCTGGGCAGGATTTCTGGCCTGACTTGGACAATGTTCTTGAGGAGACCTGAGAGTCAGAAACTTGTCCAGCTCATAGAGAATTGTGCTGTGGTCGGAGGATCACTGGGTTATGTCCTAAGTTTACTGTTAACTACCTCAATGGACTTTTCTCCACTTCTCTGGGACTCAGTTCTCTGTCTGTACTAGGTGGCAGGTTGGGACCAATCATTGTTACTCAAACTTAAGCATCAACTCACCCCTTAACATTTATGTAAGGCACATTTCCTTAAAAGCAAGACTTAGCCTCCTCCAAAGAAATAATATTCATGAAATCGCAGTTCTGATGTGCCAGGTTTGTGTTTTGGGGGAGTTTTGTTTGTTTGTTTGTTTGTTTGTTTTGGCAGCTGGCCAGTACAGGGATCTGAAGTGAGCTAAGAGGCCAGCCTGGTTCTTCACATGTTGGTGTCAACTGTGCTCCCCAGAACTCACGTGAACAATTCTGGTCACGGTTTAAGGGGTTCACAGGCCCCCTGCAGTAGACTCCAAATAAAAGTCCCTACACTAGTCCAGCACCTTCTGCACATATACACACAACCTGAGACCCAGAGAGTAGGGAGAATTTTCCAGACAGCAGCAAAAACACAGGGCAGCCTTCTTCTCCTTCATCCTATATGAAGAAGGCCTCAGAGCAAACATCCAAGACTCCGAGCCACGAGCAGGAGGGGAAGGCCCTAGAGACAGGCCTTGGGAGCAATAGCCAGCATGTTTCACCAGTCATCTGCTCTTTGCCTGGTGCTGAACTACGTACTGCACATTTGTGATCTCCCTCAGCCACCGTGCTGGTGATATTTCTTAGTTGGCCACATACAGAAGTCAGTCTCTTTTCTAGCTGATGCTAAAAGCACTTAAACTGATTTGCCAGCTTTCCAACAGTTTGTTCAGTTCTAAGGACCCTGCCCTACTTTCTACTGCAAGGCCTGCTGCTTGGTAAGAGCCGTCATGTTACAACTGGAGGATTCAGTTGAATTAAGGAACATGAAAGCCACACTCCCCTGGGCTTTTATTAAAATCATCCTAATGCAACATTCAGTTCTTGATATTTAAAAACAAGCAATTCCAAAAGCTTTGGCAGACATCCATGCTTTCTCGTCAGGAGGAGGAAAACGAGTCAGAAGAAATAAAGAAGGAAGACACCAGCCAGCATCCAGGAGAGAGGTGCACACAGGTAGAGGGGCAGTAGGAACCAGCTTACCTCTCAGCTCCTCAAAGTCTGGCTCATGCCTTTACTCTTCTATTGGTTTAAAGCATCATAAAGTAATAAGAGCAACAGCACTCGCCGAGGACATGCTAGTGTCTCAGCATTATCTCCTCACCTCCTCACCTTAACCCCATGATGCCATTATTACTCCCATTTGCAAATGAGGAAGTAGACTCAAGTTGCCAACTAGCCAAGGGCACATGAGCAGTAAGAGATGGAACCAGGATCCAACTGAAGGTCTCTGACTCTAAAGCCAGAGCTGTTAAATACTGGTTCAAATACCTGCTAGTAGCTAACATTTATTCAGCATTTATTATGGGCCAGGCTTTGTTCTACAAATTTCACATGTATTAGTTCATTTACTCCCAAATCATTCGTACACACACACACACACACACATATATATGATGGTACTTCAAAAAGTTCATGGAAATGTTAGTATTTTTTAATTCTATTTTTGTCATGAACTTTTTGAAGTACCCTCCAATATAGACAGAAGTTACAGATTAGAAAACGAGTACCAGTAATGACCCACACGTTCATCGACATTAAAGATTCATTGATTACCTGGGATGTGTCAGGCAGCAAGGCACTAGGCAAGGGGCTAGAGTCACTTAGATGTACAGTAGGCCCCCTTATCTGTGGTTTTGCTTTCTGTGGTTTCAATTACCGCAGTCAACTGTGATCCCCAAAATAGGTGAGACCAGTACAATAAGATATTTTGAGAGAGAGACCACATTCACATAACTTTTGTTACAGTATATTGTTATGATTGTTCTATTTTATTACTGGTTATTGTTAATTTCTTATGCCTAATTTATAAATTAAACTTTATCATAGGAATCTATGTATAGGAAAAATCATAGTACATAGGATTTGGTACTGTGTTCTCAGGCATCCATTGGGGTCTTGGAAAGTATCCCCAACAGATAAGGGGGGATGACTGTATGAGCCCCAGCCTCGCCCTGGGAAAGACGGCAGTCACATAGGAGTGATGTGTATTTTGTAAACATTTACATACAATGAGGTATGTACAAAGTGCAGAAGGACTGAAGAGGAGGACATGGTTAATCAAGGAGCTATCGATAAGAAAAGGTTTCTCAGAATAAGTGACACCTAAGCAGTTTTAAAGCAGTCCGCTCAGAAGACAAAGCATAATACAGCATTTCCAATAGAACAACATACGCTGGGAACTGGAGCAAGAACAGGTTTGGGATGGGAGCAGGAGGCCAATGTTTCTCTCTTTCCATTAGAAACAGATTTTTGATTTGCCAAAACCAGCCCACCCCCTCTTTCTTTCATTCACCCAGTAACTAGTATGGATTAAGCCCTTGTATCCAAGCACTGTCTTTAAATGTAAAATAGATGGAAGGAATAAAAGGAAACCAATATTTACTGGGCAGTTCTGTGATAGGCATTGGGCTAGGCACTTTTTAAAATCATTACAATCACTTGATGGTAACTATATTATTCTATTTCTATAGTTGTGACACAGCCACGAGTTTTATCTAGATCTGTCCTGTCCTAGATCCTGTATCTCTTCCATCACAGTGATCGGTAGAAACTTTGGCTTGTTTATTTTCATTAGTGAGGATACTCACAAGCATACCATATCTCTGTGAGTAAATACTGCCTGACAGCTGACCAGGAATACAAATTTAGCCTGTCACCAAAGCAGAGGGTAAAGTCAAGTGGCTCACAGAGGTCTCCAACTGCTGACCCTGACCTTATTATTGTCGATTAACCATCCCCCAATTTAGATCTTCCATGCTCCACTGGTTAAACCGCTAGTGGCAGAACCAACATGATTTGCTGTCACTGCCAATTTCTGCCTCAGTTACCGTCAAAACAGTGATCCCTGTCAGGCCAGAAACAGTGTCTTAGCTACTGCTAAGCCAGATCCCAGTCCACCCCTACTCCCCAATCCCTGAAAAGTCAACCTTGGTTTTCTTGGATGGACAGCTCCCACCGAAGCCCTCCCTGCACACCCACCTCAGCACTCATTTTGGATTCTATCTTTGGTCAGAGTGGGAGCGGAGAGAACCTTTCTCCAGAATGCATCCTAGTACAAAAACCCAGAGACCACAGGGAAGTGGGACCAGCCATAAGTGCTGGGACTCTTGCTCTGGTTAGTTAGTGATGTGCTGCACCCTTCCAGCCAGGGTAGTACATTCTTGTGGGGGTCAAGGAGGATGGCAGGGAGGCTGGAGTAGAACTGAGGGAGGGACTGCCTCCTTGGCAAAAGGAAAAGCAACATCTTGACACTCAATAGTCACTCAGTTGGGTGAATTCTATTGATTCATTTGTGTACTGTTTAATGATTTATCGTGTACTGCCTGCCAAGCCCTGTGCTAGGGTGCTCTGTGGAAGCAGTAGAGACAGCTCCTGTCTTCATAGAGCTTACAGCATAGTAGGGGGTATGGACAAGCTTTACAGGCAATGGCAGCAGTTGAATGTCTTGGTTAAGAGCCCAGGTGTCCAAGCCTGCCAACTGGACAAGCTTTACAGGCAATGGCAGCAGTTGAATGTCTTGGTTAAGAGCCCAGGTGTCCAAACCTGCCAACCTGCTTACTTGCTTGGTGTGAAATCTGAGCTCCATCTCTCAAAAGCTGAGCAACTCTGCACAAATGACTTAACCTCTCTGTGTCTCAATTTCCTTATTGATAAAATAAGGATAAAAATGACAGCTATGTCATAAAACTGCTGAGAAGACAGGATGATTTAATACACACAGGTCTTAGAAGGGTACCTGGCCCACAATATGCACTCAATGAACGTTTATTGCTACGGTTCTGCTAGTGCTACAAAACGGCGTGATATGCACTGTAATGGGTACCTCAAGGTGCCAGGAGAATGCAAAGAAGCACCTCATCTAGACCAGAAGCTTCCCGAGGAGGCGATCTAATGTGATGCTGAAAGATTCCCAGACAAGAGAAAGGAAAAGAATATTCCAAGCATCAGGATAGGACATGTGAAGACAAAACATCATATGGTGTATTAAAGGAGTTTACAATATTCTGGT